GGGTAGAGAGAGATCGGAACGGTTTTTAATGTGAAGACAATAACAACAACAACAATACGGTTTAATGTGAAGTCAACAACAACAACAAATGTGAGAGNTTGAGTGTACCTTTTAAGGGTAAGTTAGCCTGCGACCACGGGAATCGACCGCGTCGAGTGTTGGATCAGTACGGACATACGAAGGTACTGGGTAGAGAGAGATCGGAACGGTTTTTAATGTGAAGACAATAACAACAACAACAATACGGTTTAATGTGAAGTCAACAACAACAACAAATGTGAGAGGGGCACGGGAGAACATTTCTCATCATTGCCTCCTGATGACGTGGTCGCCGATAGATAGAGGCGTGTGGTTGATGAGGTTTCATAACCGACATGTGGGTGTGTGTTAAATGCAGTGGGTGTGTTCACCTCTCTGGTTCAAACACCGCTGCATCCGTCGCGAGCACACTGTTCAGTACTGCAGCATGGCCTTGACTACTACTTCCGTCGGGAGTCCGTCGTTACCATCGCCAGCGAAGACCTTGGTAGCCGCGCGCATGCACTCCCCCGCTTTCAACTGGTTACCCCTTCCGAAGCATCCAAGGTCTTTGGCGGTGTCGTAGTACACCTGGTTCCTGACCCTTTTCGCCACGCAGTACCCTGGGTCATCCTTTTACCTGGTGAAGACATCCTGTTGGCGGGGCGTGACGCAGGGGACGGTCGTTGTGGTGAGGCGGTGACACATTCTATGTGCTTGATCACTGCCATCTCCCCATCAACAATTTTACCCCACAAACGGCGGTTCTTGTCGTCCGCCGGTTTGTGTCGCCCCGTGCGGAGGACGCTCAGGAAAACGACACTTCTTCATTGTGCGTACTTTCATGTGCAGAACCACTAAAATATNGGGGCGTGACGCAGGGGACGGTCGTTGTGGTGAGGCGGTGACACATTCTATGTGCTTGATCACTGCCATCTCCCCATCAACAATTTTACCCCACAAACGGCGGTTCTTGTCGTCCGCCGGTTTGTGTCGCCCCGTGCGGAGGACGCTCAGGAAAACGACACTTCTTCATTGTGCGTACTTTCACGTGCAGAACCACTAAAATAAAACGAACAGCGATGCTCGTGCTCCTACTGCTGTTCTAGCTTCGAAAGCCACAGAGGGAAATGAAAACGTGTCCAAGCATATATGTAGCACTTCGCTTTTTAGATTATGCGAATGCGTGAAATAGGAGCGGTTGAGGGTGGCGAGTGCGGCGGTCTCCTCTACCAATGTAACCATAGATTAGTAGACCCGAAAAAGAAAAAAAAAGGCGGCGAGGACACGGGGGGTGTTATTCAACGTGATCAATCGGGCCTTTCTTTTTTTTGCGCTCTCGCCACGAGAACGCACAACAGCCAAACAGTAGTCTACGGTGCGGCCGAGGTGCTGCCTAAGACTCGCAATATATGACGCCACCGTCACCCAATCCTCGCCTAGCTGAATCCCATCCCACACAAACCCCAGTCAAACATGCTCGGAACATGCTCTACTCTACCCCGCCTAGACATCATGCCCACACCTGCAGCCGAACAGCGGCCAAAACAGCAGACTGGCGCAGCCCGCAGGAGGTAGTTGACGGGTCTTCCTGCCAGCTGACGGGCGGCTGATGGTGATCACAGACTCCCTCCGCCAGCTCCTCCGCCTTCTTCTGGATGAAGCTGCGGATGGTCTCCGGGTGAAGCCTCGCATGCTGTTGCGAAGGTGTACAGTGTTAAGCAGGACCCGATTCGCAGGGTATCCGTCGATTGACTCTTACCTGAATCGGTACACCTTCGCGTATGGCGTCAGCGGCAGGATACTGGTTCGAATCTCCTTGGGTGCACACTTGTTCTCCTGACTTGGATATTTTCCCATGGACACAATGTGTGTCAGTCCTGAGAACACCTCTTGGAGTCGATCCTAGAAAGAACCTTGTGACACTTCCATCGAATTACCCATCCTGGCCTCAAGAGGTTCCCAGTTGAGGGTAAATTCTGTGGGTGGAGAGTGTTAAGGAGGACCCGATTCGCAGGGTATCCGTCGATTGACTCTTACCTGTACCGATTCAGGTAAAAGTCAATCGACGGATACCCTGCGAATCGGGTCCTGCTTAACAAGTGGTTGCGACCTTCAAATCTTATTGTGCCGTAGGTTTCAAACAACACCTCTTCTTGTGGTCGCCTTTCTGCTGCGAATGCGCCTTTTTTTGACATGCGTTTCGCCTTCATTGACCCCGGGGATGGTGCGTTAGTGGTTGTTGTTGTTGTTGTTGTCTTCACATTAAAAACCATCCCGGTCTCTCTATCCAGTACCTCCTTCTGTCTCAATCTCTCCGTACTAATCCAGCACTTGACTCGGTCAATTTCCGTGGTCACTGGTTGGTGGCCCCGGAATTTAAAGACACTTTTTTTTTGGACAATGTGGTGTGTCTTTAAAGCGGGGTCGACTGTACCATGGATTACTATTATGCTTAGGCTCGTTGTTGACGCCTCAGAAAATTCTTGCAATTTTCCACGGGACGGTGAAAAGATATCCCGACATTTTTTCGCTTGATGTCATCGCAAAAAGTACGTTTCCTTCCCTGAATACACACTTTGCTCAGCACAAAACAGGTTGACTCGGAGTTGCTCACCATAGAGCAGCGGTAAAAGTGCAATGAGCAGCACCCGACACGGAGTACAACACACTTAGAAAGATCCTATCCACTCGGCCTGATGTTTTCAGTTTTCAGCAACAACAGAGGCGCAGGGCAGATTGTCGCAACCTGGGTGTTGCTTGAGATTCATTCAGTTTGCCAGCTCATTTTTCACGGTTGCGACTCCCATCTTTGACCACCAACTGCCCAAAGGTAGACGAGCTCAACAATCACAGGGCAGCAGCCGCACTGAAGGCAAGCATCGTATAGATGGCCAATCCGAAATAATTAGCGTGTCGGAGGCCCTGTTGCTCTTCTGCTGCGTGGTGCCGTGGATTGATGTTGACGTGTCCGACCAAGAACCGCCGCATTTTTTCCAACGGCATTTTGGTGAGGTGGCACACGTCTCTCACACACCTTTTTGAGCAGCACCCAAGCACCCAATACCCACGAAGCAGCACGGCGCCGGGAGATGGTATCATATAGACAGCGGATCACAACGGCCGCACTTACTAGAAAGGCCAAGGCGAAGACAAGAACGCGAGGAACTACGTTCCCCCGGACGATGGTCTCCCAACGCCCCCTACTCCTGCCATTGGTACACAGACCGCAACAGTTATGCGCCTTCCCCCGCACGGAAAACATGGCCTCTCCCAAGTGCTAGAAACTGTTCCAGCTACCGGCAAATTCATCAGCTTGCGCCGGTGATACTGCAGACTGGCCCTGCTAAGGGCCTTGGTGAGGAGGTCCGCGTGTTGCTCCGTTGTCGGAACAAACTTGACCGAAATATCCCCCGACCTAAACAATCCTCGGATGAAATGATACCTCACGTCGATGTGTTTCGTGCGACCTGAGCTGAGAGGGTTCTGCACCAACGCCCCCTGGTTGTCCTCAAGGACCTAGATGCTGCTACCTCTGGTCTCTGGGGCAACAAACGAAAGCACAGCACGCACCAAAAACGCCTCCTTGACGCCCTCCCCGGCAGCAATGTACTCGGCTTCCGTCGAAGACAAAGACACGATGCTCTGTGTCTTGCTACCATGGCTGACTACGGTACCTCCAACCGTCGTCGCCAACCCTGACACCGAACGCCTATCCTCCGTGTCGGCGTAGCTAGCGTCTACGTACACGGCCAGCCCTAACCCCGATCCCCGTTGGTAGGTGATGCCGAGGTCCCTCGTCCCTTTCAGGTAGCCGAGGATCTTCTGTATGGCATCCCAGTGCCGCTTCGCCGGGGCGTGGGCGTGGCGCGCTACCGCACGCACGGCGAACGAGACGTCTGGACGCGAGAAAGTCGACACCCACATCATGCTGCCGATGGCCTCCCTCACCGGCCACTCCCCTCCTTCCTCATCCTCTCGCTTCGGCCCTAGATCGGCACCAGGAGTAGCGGGGATGCGGGAAGTTGATTGCACATCGAGCGTTCAACCATGCTGTCGATATACGAGGTTTGGGATATTGTAAGAGTCCCAGCATCTACATCTCCCTCGATGGCACAACCATCAAACCATTGACACATTCCAAGGTTTTTGGTGGGAAATTTCTTGTTGAGAGAAGCAAGCAACTCCTCGCAATCCTCGTCAGACCCAGCCACCAAAATGTC